CAGATAGCAATGCAAAATTATAAACAATTTCTAGGATCGTTAATAAACGGCAAAAGTGTAAAATTATGGAACATGTAAAAAACGGTTTTTTGTTTTTTTACAATAACCTTTTTTGTAAGCGGTACAGAAAAAATTCCTTCCTTGGTACAAGACTCGACACCATAACGAACCAAATAGCGAAAAAAGTAGAGCAATAGCTCTTAAGATAAAAAACTAGTAGCGTCGCAAAGTTAGCGGACGGACGGACGGACGGACAAAGTGGCCACAATAGCGCATTTTTTTTTATTTTTGTGGAAATGCGCTAAAAAGTTGGCACTGCGCATGTGCAAAATAAAATTTTGAAACTGGCGCTAGACTTTCCTTTATTCCAAGTGCCTATGTATCACATTTCATTCAAATTCTTCCATAAATAAAAAAGTTGGCACTGCGCATGCGCAAAACCAAATTTTGAAACTGGCGTTTGATTTTCCTTTATTCCAAGTGCCTATGTATCAAATTTCATTCAAATACTTTTATAAGTAAAAAAGTTTGCAATTCGGTTTATAAATGGTCGAGATGCGAAAAGGGCACTGTGAGTTTTGAACGATTCGATTCAACTTTTGGCATTGCGTATTATATGGCTAAAGCTATACCCATATTGAATTTCATGCAATTCAGTTCATAACTAACGGAGATGTAAAAGAGATCGAACATTTCTAAACAAAGTTATCGTTCACACGGAGAGATAGATGGACAGACAGACAAAGGAACAGACGGAGAGACCAACCGGCAGGCGACAGATAGTAATGCAAAATTATAAACGATCTCTAGGATCGTTAATAAACGGCAAAAGTGTAAAATTATGGAACATGTAAAAAACGATTTTTGTTTTTTTTACAATAACCTTTTTTGTAAGCGGCATAGAAAAAATTCCTTCCTTGGTACAAGACTCGACACCATAACGAACCAAATAGCGAAAAAAGTAGAACAATAGCTCTTAAGATAAAGAACTAGAAGCGTCGTAAAACGAGCGGACGGACGGACGGACGGACGGACGGACGGACGGACAAAGTGGCCACAATAGCGCATTTTTTTTAAATTTTTGTGGAAATGCGCTAAAAATTGAGCAGTTGAACGATTCTTCGAAGAAGAAGAGACCACAGTTCACACTTTTTCTGTAATGTAATATTGCTGCAGACACCGTTTTAATAAACCAGTTCACTTCCCCTTCCGCTTCTATTCCGCTGTTTTATAACAGAAGTAAGGAATTTTTCAAATATAGCAAGGTACCCTATGCGCTCTGATTGGCCAAACAGAATGGCGCGTGACATGAGCCGCGGGTTGGGTTAGTCTGCCGAGCCGGCCGTCAAACGTGTCACGTTTACGTTGTTTACTTTTATTTAGCTCATTAGTTCATGGCGACAATTCGTGCGTTTTATCGCACAGTTTAATAAACTAAACGTAATAATTCTAGTTTTTATTCAATTTATAATAGTATTTACACTTCTGCTTCCGCTTCCGCAAAAAAAATGTTTTCTCTTTCCGCTTCTGCTTCCGCTATAATACTTCCGTTATTGTCGACCACCTCTTCGTTTGCGGCCTTCCTTTAGATATTTGGCTAACCATAACCCGGCATCCGTGTGGAAACTTGATAATAGGCATCGCATAAAAAAGGGTTGAAACTTCCCTTCGATCTACAAAGTTTTGAAATTCTGAACTTGAAACATAAAATGAATTACTCTTTCCCGTCGACTACCCGAAACTTTTCCAAAATGTTACCTATTTCAGATGAATTTTTAATGAAAACGTCTCCTGCAATCTGAAACGTGACTACAGAATTCCGTGATTTTTTGTTGCCTGTCAATAAAGTAAACACCCAACAACCAATTAACTATAATTCCGATTACGTACTTCCGAAGGTATGCCAGAATAACAGAAATTTGCCGATGTCGTTTTTATTTTTTTCTGATGTTGTTTGAACAGATACAAAAAAATACGAAACAGTTTTTCAGTGCCACTTTTTGAGTTCTACAAGACAGCGTTGAGAGATTTTCAATACAACGTTTCGGAGAAATCATCATCAACTTTATATTATTTTACGCAGCCCGTAAAAAAGTGCATACTGTATTGAGTAGCATTTTTATTACAAACACAACGATAACGGGAACACCAAAAAGTTCGAAACTGTCGGTTTCAACAGGATGGTGCACCCGCACACAGCGCTCTATTCCTTTCCAGGAAATTGTCAGACATTCGATTACAGCGTTTTGCGCAAATGCGCCACCCTGTTGAATCCTGAGAACTGCAATACTATATACCCATTAAAACGGATGCAACTTTTGACCTAACAAGCAGACTTCGAAGCGCAACTAACGATTAAAAGACGCATTGAAAACCAAAAGTTTAAAATGACGCAAATTTCGTTGACCGCAATTATCCAGTTAAATTCTTTACCTACTCATAAGTAAAATTTGTTTGCTATCTGGATTGTGCCATGAATTCACAAAATGGATTAATTCTTGGCATTTAGCACAGCCATAGGAGCATTCGAATTTTTTTGTAAGATTTTTCTTGGATTATTATTACCAATTTTTCGCACCGATGCACGTTTTAGTATCTTGGGTCCTCTACACGTCATTTGTTTATTTAGGGCATACTTAAAGCGTTCACCAGCATTAACGAAATATAATCTCTAAGCTAATCGCTGGCCCAATCTATTTTATGTAAGTTTGCTTGGGTGAGCATTAGGATTTACTACAGATAACGCTACATTTGGTCCTTCGAGCCGGATGAACGAATTGGTGCCGCATATCCACAAGGGTGCTACATTTTGAAGTGAGTTCAAGTGGCCAAAATAGCAAATATGGACATAGAGATGCTGACGACGGAGCAGTTCGACCTCAAATAGAGACCAGCCAAGCGGCACCAGGTTTAATGTCCAATGTAACAGCGATGGGAACATATGCACGCCCATTCGCCAAGAAAGACCTTCCATACCTAGCCTGGGTCACACGCACCCCCGACCGTAGACAACAAATGAGATTTAATTGGCTTATGAAACTTATCCAGAACACACGGGCCGAACTGGATGAGGAACGTTCCAAGAAATATTGGAATTTTAAAAAGACGGAGATTCCTCAGCCCTGGGACGACATCGTAGAAGCACAAGACGATATTATGGGAAGCAGCGAAGTACCTGATATTTTAAAGGCCCTTACGAAACTGCAAAGGGCACAGTTCAGCAAATCCTTATAGCGGTTTGTGAAAAAGAGCCAAGAGAGAAAAATAGCTGTTTCGCTGTACTTTCGTATATCTACGAGCCAAAGAAGAAGCCAAAAGTAAGTTGGGTGGGTTCAAGGCCAACGAAGTCGCCAGGGAAGGAGTACCCATGCGCATCACGGACGAGTTCGCTCTGACAATATTCTGGGACACTAAAGAAGTTCAAACCCAAGACGCATCCCTCTCGCAGGAAGATGACCAATGCGAGAAAACAGGAAAGGTATCAAGAAACAACAACACGGAATATAGACAACATGTACATCGTAAGCCGGTCGCTGAAAGAAGAAGCTGAGGAATTGGAAAAGGCAACCGCTCGCCTTCTACAGATAAAGGTTTTCTTGGGAGGGTATGAAGAGCTTAGACATATGATACCTCGAAATGCAGAGGAAGCAATTGCAAAATACTACATTCCCCACCATACGGTGATAGAATAGCTCCACCAGAAGATGACGAGTGGTGTTTGATGCCTCGGACCAGTTCAAATTTAGGAAAAAGCCAGAACGAGATGACGGTAACTGGTACAAAACTACAAGAAAATCTGTGCGGAAAATGGCAAATAAAAACCTCCAAGTAAGGTAACGGCAAAATCTAAGGTGGCCCCTACCGCGGGTGGAGCTGGGTAGAGCAATAGTACTGGTGGCCAAACTGTTAACAGAAACAAACCCTCAACCTCAAGACACTCAGTCTCTTCCTGGATGAAATGAGACTACTAAAAGTAAGCGGACAGATTAACGAATGCCGCGTGCATGTCGACACAAAAAAACATCCCCTAATAAATGCTCCAAAAAGGCATTTGGCCACACTAATCGTAAAGGATGCCCAAGCCACATCCTTTCAAGGCGGGAACCAACTGACATTCCCATTGGTGAGACGGAAATACTCGATACTGCGAGCAAACAATCTGATCCCCCGGGAAGGCAGGAGCTGCATACGCTGTCTACGATTGAACTCGAGATTGAACCACAGAATGGCGCAACCGTTAATAAGAACAAGTACGCGTAAATATGGTACACCCTTTCCAACCGCGGGACCGGACTACTCAGAACCTAGGGATTTTTGGGAAATTTGGTCAAACAAGCCACCACCAAAGGAAACGGAAATCGAGTTGGAAACCGAAACATGGAGACACGTATACCCCCAAAAACGATCTGCTTTTCTGCTGTGGGCCCGAGATGTTAATCGATGTAAAGCGACCGCTAGCATTAAGGAAATATAATCTCCAATAATATCAAGGAAAAACAGAATAATAAGGAATTGTTTGCCTACCAGGAAGTACACTGCAAAGGTAGTAAAACAATATTGATGTATTCAGCCAGTCAGCATATCCTGCATACTAACATACGAGTAATAGAGGTCTCATTCTTTCTGTTTTACTTATAATTCGGAAGACTTAATTACTCACTAACACGTGGCATACATGAAGAAATTTTTGAGTCGTGGACAAAATCATCTCGATTCTATGTAGAACGACCATAAGCATAGTCTTCATCAAAATCAGTATTCGATATATTTCGCTTTATCCACTCGTCAAATTTTGAAATCAACTCGTCACTCATTTCTTCTCTGTAATTTCCGACGGTACCCGACCTCATAAAATCCGTCACGTCGGGATTATTCTTTCTGCCGGCTTCAACAAAACGTTTGTAGTTCACCGCCCGATTATTCTTCATAAACTTAAAGTCAATTCGTTCGCGCAACAACTCCAACTGCTCCTCCGTTAACGGATCTTCGCCCAAAAAATGGCAAACCTTTTCGATTACCCCTGTAATGTCCTTTTTCATGTCTTCGTATTTGATTATTAAAAAGTTTGGCAAATGTCTCATGTTATAAAATCCGAACACGTGTTTCCAATACGGTCCAAATAGTACTGAAAACCGAGCATTATTTTCACACCTTGTAACTTATACCTGCTACAACCTTTATCGCCCAAGTAAACCTTTGCGAAGTCCTCCATGTTCGGTTTCCAACCGTGCATCACATGACCATGGTGATAATATGACGTGAAAACATCTTTGGGGTTTCTAATTGCGTATATCACCTGGAAAATACAATTAGATGAGGTTGGTCACCGATCTTGAAGTAGGTACCTTGGGCTGCTTTGTGCCATTCTTAAGTTGTTTGGGGAGTAGGCAGAGGGGTAAGTGTGTTTTAATAAATCTTTGTCCCTTTTGTTCGTCAATGTATTGAAGTGATTTGATAAAGTGCTTCTCTACATACTCTTCAGCATTCCGAGACTCCATCAGCGAGCACATTCTGCAAGTAAAAGGTTGAAGGGTGTTTGGCAAGCTTACAAATGCATACTCTAGCATGGGAAAGCGTTCACAAATGTCAATTTCGGAGCCTGTTAAACTTACGCGGTGTTTTATTAGCCATACCATCTCCTGGATCCAGGTTGTACCTGTGCGAGTACTATTATAGTAATTTTGTTGTTCTCCATTTCGCTCCTACCTGATTTCGGAAACGACGCGACAATGATATCTTCATCCCGCAATTCGAAGTTGTCAATTTGTTCCTCGTATTTACGAAAATGTTTTCGCAAACATGTTTCTTCGTCGCCGTATAAGATAAAGTCTTCATTAGGGGAGTCGATAAAATCCGTATCGATGATCGCCCTTATTTCAGGATCCACAATTTCCTTTGTTTCTAAAGGCATCTTAACTCCTTTTGAACATTAACAACAATCTTACAAAATAACAGAAATTAGTATGATTTATCACATTTAATTTATTTTAAGACGAAAGCAATCGCGTGTTACACTAAGAAGAAAACATCGAACTATGAACAAGCATTATGTAATAATATATAATGGGAGGTGGTATTACCAGAGATACCTAAACGAAAACAATTCCCCACGGAAATATTCGTTTAGTTAAATTATATAATGTGGTACCCCAGAATTGATTTGAATGAGACATCAAAGCAAGAATTAAGATTTTAAGAGGTCGACTACTAACACCGTCGTAGCGTTATCGTTTAGTTTTGCTAAATTATATAATTGATTGCTTTGAATGAATTGAGATATGAAAGCATATGTAAGAATGAAGTTTTTTAAAGGTCGACTTGTTTGGATTTTACGTTTTTATGAGGCGGCGTAGTACGCTTCGCTTCTGTACCTAAAATAAACATGTATATTGTGTAATTGTGTAGGTATGTATAGTTGGTATGAAATTACAGAGTCGTTGCTGACGATCCAGTTTCCATAGTGAAGCGTGCAGTGAAGACTTCCTCTCTCATTCGAACTTTAGGTATGCAAGGTACAAAACAAATTCAGGCCTAGGTATACCAATGCAACACTTACTATCCAGAGTGGACATATATTTTTCGAATACAACAAAATCAAAAATTAATCCATCATTCATACGTACATTGAGCAGTAAAAAATCACTTGGAATTATGGATGAGAACGTAGACGGCTAAGAAAGAAGTGCAGTGTGTTTTTAAATTTCTTAGACCCGAGCATGTATTATGCATTTTTGATCGTGTAATACATTATATTTCTCCTATTTCTAGAAAGTTTAACTGCTTATTAATGGAATCTTTGTTTCGCCTAAATAGAACATGTGTATTTCTTTGCTACATCGGATATAGGTAAGTTACCTAAACCCCAATAAAACGGACAGCTGACTTGGAAAAGTTAGCCATTCTCATCAGTCACGTCGCGCCGCTTTTAATTAATATTTCGACTATGATTCAAAGGGGTAATTTCGGTTAGTATAGGTATGTGTGCGTCTAGTTAAGTTCACTTCTTCTGCATTACTTAAAGTGGGTGCACATGCAGTACCTTCGAAACGTTATGCTTATAAATATAATAATTTGAATGGAACTTCTCTCAAAGTTATGTTAAATTGGCATTTTTGTTAAGAAATTTTGTATTAGTATGAAACGTCTTAAGGATATGTTATGGTTATGACTTATGACGTCACATACAATTTATTTGGTATTTAATACAATATCTCTTGGGTAAAAATATGTTTTATTTTACTATAATACCTTTTGACGTCATTAGTCAGGTTGCAAAATGTGTTAACACATCAATATGAGGGTCATTCTAACAATAAAGGAAGTCATTCTAAATTAAGATCGAATGGTCTCAACATTCAAAATATATATAACTCGGTATCAATCTTATCTGTTGTTTTTCATAAGGGTTTAACCCATATTTAATATAGCACTATCAAACGCTCATGTATTTAAAGTTTTTTGGAATTCCATGTCCCGGTAGTACTTTCCCGAATCGTTACTCGAGATATACCTGGGACCTAATCGACAGAAATTTCCCTGTGGTTTTTTAATAGGAAATTTAACTAAAAGATAAATAAACAGTTTCACAGAAACGCGTACGCTTCTCGATAAACGGGTGTTTACCAATTTCCATCCAAATTTAGAACTACCACATCCGTTGGACGCGTACCTAATTATATAAATCCAGTACTACTTCCAAACCGTTACTTAACATAATGAGACTGTGTCAACTTGCGTGCATTCTTTTAGTTTTACTTCTCAGTGTCAATGAGATACGGGGAAGCATCCGTCATCCACCAAATCGAGGTGAAGGAAGGGCGATTGGTCCATTGTCAACCGCTATAAGGCTCTTTCGACTACTCCGCTGTGATCCAGGGAAGTACCGCGATGCCCGCAATCGATGTGTGTCTCCTTGGGACTAAGGTTTAATTTCTTCTAATTTAATTTCTAATCTTACTCAAAATCAACTCTATTTTTAGGAATTTGCGATTTCATTGTTAGAAGTTGGGTGAATCATAACTGCTAACTACTAACTACGTAAACCTATAGCAGAAATTTATTGGCATATTAGATGTGGTACCTTATATGAACAATAACTTGATATTGGTTCTACTTTAAAGCTTTCAACAACTGTCAAGTCGGATCCTGATCCAAACCTAAGCTTATGAATAAGGGTATTTAGACGTAGCACAAAGGTTTCCAGGAGAAGCAAAGGCGTCTTCCAAGAGACTAGGATACATAAGCATTTTTTTCATTAAAACATTTTACTTGATTATACTTCGAGAAAGAATGAGCTTAGGAAATAATTGGTCACCACAGTTCATACATTTTCCTTAATGTAATTTGCTGTATAGCGTTTTGATAAACCAATAAACGTCATGAAACGTAAATAGCTGTGAAAGTTCCGAAATAAATTAAACCTCCAACACCTGATTGTTGTGTGAGTAATGTCTTATACGTTTTGATAGCATAGGACCTGAAGCCAACGGAGTATAATCTGCTCATAAATTATGCAATTTTTATGGCATTTTTCAAATAGGTGATTATGGTCTCAACAAATTGAATAATCGCAAAACGTGCTTCTGCACAAATAAGATCGTGCAGAAATTCGCACTTTAGAACACGTTTCACATTAGTTTCATAGCAGTTTAAACGCAGTTCATGTTTGTGGATTTTGAGGAAACCAGTATCAAACATTATGGGAAGCTGTTGGAGCTCACTGTGTAATAATCGGAGGGATAGAGACTTTAGTGATTCCATTACGTCACAAATTCGTTATGACGAACCTCCAAGTGTCGCTGCTAATGTAATTCAGGTTCCGTTGAAGCCCAACTTTAGATATGCGGCTAACCATAAACCGGCACCCGTGTGGAATCTTCATTAGAAATTGTTTGGTAAGTGATGTATACTCAATCAGGGCCTGTTGTGTCGCTTGGTCATGTGGTCTACCACTCAAACGTTTCACCTATCAAATATAGCTACAGTGTAGGTACCATTTTATCTGAAGCAATTAAGTATCCCTTTCAGCACTAAATACTGGTAACTATTATTGGGTGGTTAAGATGGGGGAAGTCCTAGTCCAGTAGGCAATAAGAATGGTCTTTAAATTTGGCTTACCACCTTTATGCCTACTGGACTAGGATTTCCCCCATCTTAACCACCCAATAATAGTTACCAGTACCTTGTGCTGAAAGGGATACTTAATTGCTTCAGGTACCATTTTACACATTTAACCGTAAATTCTAAGAAGTTGCCAGATTTTGTTGGATATTTACAGATCTTCCCGAACATTTTCGGACCTTTCTAAGAATTTACAGATGATCTGCTCCATTTATTCGTTGATGATGTATGTATATGTTATATAAAAAGTTTCTTATGGGGCTATATCCGACTTTAAAAATACGTAATGAAAACTAGTGGCTAGCACTAAAAAAAGTAAGCCCCCCCATGACCATGCAGGAGTACGCCACAGACCACAAATTTAAAGTACCTAGATTGGTAGCAACCTTTTTATAATTTTGGATACCACAAAAAACTTCGTAAAAAATCGTTTGTTTGGATATATACCTACAGTGTTCCAGACAACATTTTCACCCTGTACCTATAGTCGAAACTAAAATTATGTACTATCGCACTCGAGATTGCACTATTATAGCACTGAGATTTCGAAATCTTTAAGTTACAATTTCTGTTAAATGTAAAAATATTCGGACGCGATTAAATAGTGATGTTACTTTGTTTAGAAAAGCTATAGTCTACAACACATCAAAGATATCTAGCATGTTTTTCTTCAAAGGGTTCATTATTGTGAAAGGTATGAAAAAATTTCCATAATAATGGAAATTGTTGGAAAAGAAGGCGCTAGTCATTTTTAGCGCATTTTTTAACAAAAAAAGTGCTATAGTTTGTTTTTTGTCCGTCTATTCGTCCGTCTGTCTGCACTCACTTCTGCGATTTTGAACTACTTTTAGGGGAATTGTCGTAGAAACCTGCATTGCAATAGGTAGCCTATATCATTGTTACACCTTGAATGTTATTGTTTTAAGGGTAGCCCCCCCCCCGTCATAAATTAAAATTATAAACTCTTTAGGAGCTCGTTAATAATGAAGTTGGCACTGCGCAGAATGCGCACAGACTGCACATGCGCACATCTAATGTTTGCAATATCAGATATGTTTGCCTTTAACAGATAAACATCTGTGATTAAAAGTTCAAAAAGATATTTGGATAAATATCACACTTTATATTGCTTGCGCAGCCTGCGCATGCGCACAGTAATCGTCAAGATTTTTCTTGGCTCAGCATCTGTGCTACGGAATTCAAAAAGAACGAACTAAGTATATTGAAAACTGTAGGAGTAGTTAAGGCCGAGGTTAAGGCCTCGGACGGACCGACAGATGGATGAGTGTACGAGCAGACGGGCGGGCAGAGAAAACGGCTGCAAGCGCGCTCACTTCATTGAAAAATGAAACCTTAAATTTGAATTCGTTATTTTTATGTTCCAGGAATATACAAAATCAGTGCTTGCAGTAGGCGTGTTGTAATAGTTATTTACATAAAAGTCAGGAAAATGACACATTACTGGCGAGGAAATATTGAAGTACGAGGCCCCTTTGGGGCCAAGTACTTTAATTTCCGAATTACCTAAATTTTGGATACAATTTGTAATACATAACCACACTCAATGAATTAATCTCAGATCTGCAAGGCATTCATTATTTAATGTGAATTAATATGCCCTTAATAAGAATACGGGAAGAAGAGCAAACCATTGATTGTCATTATTTTATTTGTAGTTTGATTTAGTTTTCATAAG